GGTACCTGTGATTTTTTTTTTCTTTTAAAGGAGGAGAGGTCCCAATATTGTTTGAGAAACAATGAATTTTTAAATGATCTTTGGGGCCCCGTGCCCCTCTGACCTTCATGGCCCCTAATTCCCAGAGAACAAAGCCAGACCCCAGGCCTGTGGAGTGTGGGAGTGGGGCAGGGGGTGTCACTTTGGAGGGAGGACTTTGGGTGTGTTCTGCTGCCCTCTGCTGGCCACACGAATCATCGGCTGGGCTCATCTTGGACTTGGAGAAGAATTTGGAGGGCATGTGTGCCCAGAGGGGGCCAGTGGCAGCTTACAGTGATCTTTATTTGCAGGAGCATTGCACAGAGCTGGGCTCCAACCCAGCTGAACCCTCATGACCTAAATTGAGTCAACTTTACAAGCAATTGCTGTCCCTGCTTGTGGGGGTGAGCCTTGGATAAAGGATGGTGGGAGGAAGACAATGATCCAAGCAAGGGCTGAGATGAAAGCGAGATGCAAAAGATGACCCCCCCCCACCATGGGTCCTACCAGCAACCAAACCAAGGGCAGGCTCCAGTGGATTGACCCTGGCCTGACCAGCTCAAGCCCTGCCTCAGTTCTCGACTTTGTATCTGTCACAGGGCCTTGGCCTTGGTTATTTAGCTCCTGAGCATCCATTTAGAAAGAAGAAGGCCCCCTCCCCAACTGCAAAGGACAATTCTGCCTGCAACAGGAGTCCCCATGCCTTTTTCAGGGTTTTGGTTTATAACAGATCTTTGCAATAACCCAACCATTGAAGAGAGGAAAATAGTCCTAAATCTAGGAGGATCACCTTGGCCCCCAGCAGGCCCTTCAGAACCCAGCTCATCCTTCTCCCCCCCCCCCCCACCCCCCCAGTCATCTTTCTGGGCCCTGTAGCTCCTCCTACTGGTTCTGCTCCAATCAAACATTCACTGAGGCCATCCTCAGTGAAGGCTAGGTTTGGGGGCTAGGTCCTGGGCTTATGGGATACTAGACAGTGAGTGGCCTTTGAGGAATGCTTAGGTATTTGGGAAGCAGGCCCCTAAACCATCACTGCAATAGCCTGGGTCAGGGCTTGAGTGGGAAGGTAGGAGGGACTGCAGGATTGCTGCCTGGGCTCCTGCATTGGAGAACCTGTCATGCACAACCTTGGAATGGCTCCTGGATACTGTAACAAACTTTCCTGCTTCTACGTAAGTCAACTTCAGCCACATCTTTTCCTACTTTCTACCTCTCCCTTGGTACCCAATAGAAAGTCACCACTCTGACCTCAGCCTATGCCCAGCCCCTGGTCCCAGGGAGGCCCCCCAAGTTGTGGAATGGAGGGTTGATGGGTGGGGCTTGAAGAGGGTGTCTGGGAAGGAAAACACTTTCTTGGGCAAAGGCAGCAAGTTGAGGAAAGAGAGGAGTTGGCCCTGTCCTCTTTTCGGGAGGTTGATGGCCCAGCCCTCACTGCGTTGCTCAGCCCTGTGTTTATTTGGGGACACAACTAAGAAAACTCAGTGAAGGCTCCCAGGCCTCGCCCATCTCCCCCGCTGAGCCCTGCAGTTTGAGCCTTTCCAGGGGTTCCACTTGTCTGGCCTCCTGCCAGCAGGTGACAAGCCCTCAGAACCACTTTCACTCCCTTCCCACAGTGACACACACTCCCAGCCATCCCCACAGCAAGCAGCCCAGCTCCACGTGGGAGCCTGAGCCAGAGTGAAGTTCCCCCGAAGTTCCTGGCTCTGCGCCCCCTGCCCAGAGCATCTGGCCCTTTTCCTAATGGTGGGCCCTCTCTTCCACTCTTAGACACCACCATCTCCCATCCAGTCTCCAGACCACCACAAACTCTGATTTGAAGGGAACTTGGAAGCCATCAGACCCAAAGCGCCTGTCCTGGAAGGATAGTCTAGCACAGTGGTTAAGCTCACAGACCTTATGCCCAGCCTCACATCCCTCATCCACCACTCACTGGCTGTGTGGCCTCGGACAAATTACCTAACCTTTCTGAGCTTCATTTCCTCATCTCCAAAATGGGGATCCTAATAGTACTTTCTCATACACTTCTCATGAGGATTAAAGGAATTAGTGATGGAAAGTGCTTTACAAATAGCTCAGCACATCATTAGTGCTCAAGAGAAGAAATCATTCTTGCGTCATCATCACTGCAAATTAATTAGGCTTGTTAACTGGCTAGTAGAACCACTACTGACTAATCCGTGGCATTCAGTCCCCAAATGACTTGAGAAAATCCTGTTGCTGGGTACATTGGCTGGGCCAGGTCAACAGCCAACCCTGTGCCCAGAGCTGCATCAACACTGTGGGGGCCACCAAAGAACTTTATCTCCAAGGAAGAGGCAGTCTCAGGCAAGATAAGACTAGTTCACAAAGTAATTAGTAAAAAACACAAGATAGCTTAAAAGTACGAAATTGTTTGGTGCAGACTACAATCACGTTAATAGTAAGAACCATTTGCACAGCATTTGAGAGTTTACATAGCACTTGGAAATACTTGCTTATTTGTGATCAAACCACCAGTACTTACTGGTACTGACTCAGAGATGACTTCAACCTAATTCTAACTTCATTTGGTATTAGGACCCTTGCTTTTTCCATTTAGTGGTGTCTGTGCACACACACGTGTCTGTGCTTTAGTCTGCTCAGGCTGCTGTAACAGAACACCGCAGACTGGGGGCTTAAACAACAGAAATTTATCTCCTCACAGTTCTGGAGGCTGGAAGTGCAAGATCAAGGTGCCACTGGGTTGGTTTCATGCCAAGGCCTCTCTCTCTGGCTTCAGAAGGCCGTTCTCTCCCCAACTTAACAGGGGCTTCCCTCTGCACACACATCTGGGTCCTCGTTCCCTCTTACAGGGACACCAGTCATATTGGATTAGCGTCTACCCTAATGACTTCATCTTAATTTAGTCACCGTTTTAAAGACTTTACCTCCAAATGCAGTTACATTCAGAGGTACTGTGGGTTACAACATCAACATATGAATTTGGAGGGGACACGATCCAGCTCATACAGTATGTGTGTATGTTTACAGGGATGAGTGCTTCTTCAAACTGCACCTCACTCCTGTCCTTCTCTTCCATCCCCCCAAGACTCCCTGTGGCCAATGTGTCCTGCAGTTCATGTTGTGCTGTGGGCCCATTCTCACAGGTGTAGTGACCTCTCAGAGCTGGATAAGTCCCGTGAACCATCCAGAGGACAGGGGTTTCCCTGGGACCTCAGCGCCCCCCACCCCCCACCCCGAGGTCCTCACAAATATAGCAGCCAAGGATAAGGAGGCATTGGGTTGGGCCTGCCTGCAGCAGGCGCCAGCGCCTTTTACACAGACCTGGACAGCAGGGCTGCAGTGGCCCCTGGTGGGCCTCCGGAGAAGCACAGCCATGCTCCCAAATCCACCCAAGAGAGGGACAGGGGAGGAGGACCCAGAAGCAGGGCCACGGTCTGGGGAAGGATGGAGAGAGCCAGATGGCAGCAGAGCAACCAGCTACGTAGCAGGGGGTGTGACGAAAACCACACACCAAACTTGAAGCCACTATGCCTGGGTCCAAGTCCCAGCCTCCCACATGGCAAGTCACCTCACCTCTCAGAGACTCACCTGTAAAATGGGGGAAATGGTAGCACCTACTTTACAGGTTGTTGTCAGGATTAAATGAACTAATTTTTGTAAATTTCCACCTGTCACACAGCAGGCGCTCTCAGAGCCACATTATGACTTTCATGNGCCATGCTCCCAAATCCACCCAAGAGAGGGACAGGGGAGGAGGACCCAGAAGCAGGGCCACGGTCTGGGGAAGGATGGAGAGAGCCAGATGGCAGCAGAGCAACCAGCTACGTAGCAGGGGGTGTGACGAAAACCACACACCAAACTTGAAGCCACTATGCCTGGGTCCAAGTCCCAGCCTCCCACATGGCAAGTCACCTCACCTCTCAGAGACTCACCTGTAAAATGGGGGAAATGGTAGCACCTACTTTACAGGTTGTTGTCAGGATTAAATGAACTAATTTTTGTAAATTTCCACCTGGCACACAGCAGGCGCTCTCAGAGCCACATTATGACTTTCATGGGCCTCTTCCTCTATAAAAAGTACTTAAAATTCTACTGTACATCTGCATTGGTCGATGTGTTTTCTATTGGTTTTAAAAGAAATTAAAACATTTTCATGGGCCTCTAACAGTATGGTGACCCCTAAGAATTGGGCNGGGCTGCGATCCGTTGCCGGACATGGAAAAAAGACAAAAGACAAAAAAAAAAAAAAAAGTTCATGGGAAAATAAATTAAAGATAATGCAAATCTTTCCATGAACTTTTTGCTATGAGTCCAGCATCCATGCCTTCCCTCCCAGTACCAAGAGCTATGCTTGATGTCAGGCATTCCAGCAGAGGGTGTCTTCCAGCCTCTCGCTCAGTCCCTGGGCATTGCAGAGATGCAGGCTGGCATGTTCTGAGGGGGGGATTCCGGGCAGAGATCAGTTCTGGTGACCAGTACCTTCAGACCTTGGGGCAGGGGAAGGGAACTCTGGAGACCAGATGCCCACTGGGTCACTTCACAGTAGCCCTTAGGGTGGTGGCAACAGCGTCCTCTAGTGGCAAAAAATCCCTCCACCTGGTGCCTGCCTCCCCTGCTGTCCAGAGGGGTCCCCAGCACCCATGGCACAAGGTTTGTGTTGAAATTCATTTGTGTTGGTCTAAAACTCTCCTCAATCCACACAGGAATCGAACCCTATAATATAAATAACTAGGTCCAAGCAACAGGGCAACTTGACTCGATTTGCACACTGATGCCCACACTTTCCCACACGGCCTCAATCTGGTGACCCCCACCTCAACCCATCAATACGACACCACCAGGGCCCCCTGCCCCTGCCTGCTCTGCTGCCCTTCCAGGCCAGGCCAACCTGGGGCAGCAGGTGGATGCAGCAGACACCTCAGCAGCAGCACTCAGCAGTCACCAGGGCTACTGCGATCCTGCAGCTCTGCAGGGAAGAGGTCTGCCCTCAGCACCTACAGTTTCCATCACACTAAACAGCACTTTTATTCCAGGGACTTCCAACATTTTAACAGGTGGAAGCTTCTAACAAGCTGGCCAAGACCTTTGGATTTGGCTGGGGGGCCAGATAAACTAAGCCTCCCAAGGACCTCCAACTTCCACTCTTGATGGGAGAAAGGGCACAAGTTCAGAGGCCATACCCGCTCCGGGATCTGGAGCCTAAAGGAGGCCAATTCCAGCCTGGCTATTCTGAGGAGTTCGGGGCATGACCCCTCCACCGCCGGCTTAAGTCCTCGATCGTGTCCCGCAGTATCTGCGTCCAGTCATCACCTCTCCGCATCAGGGTGCAGCGTGTCTCCTTGTGCTCCAGGGCCAGGATCTCTGCAGGGGTCTCGGGGGTCAGCCCTGCAGCCAGGACAGCTTCCGGGAACTTGGCCGCAGAGGCGGGGGCCAGGCAGCACCGGGGGATGCTGTTGGGGATGGGGAAAGGTGGGAGCCAGAAGACGGTGAGAGAATAGAGGGATGGGAAAGGAGAAGGTGGAGGAGGAAGGAGAATGCACCGGGGAAGGGTAGTGGAGGTGGGCATGGAAGAGAGAGACAGACACAGGATTGCCACCTTGAACTTATCTCTAAAATTACGCTGCCTGGCAAACAGCTCCTCCTGGTGGGAGGCCCAGCTCAACCAACACCTTTGCCACTGGCTGTCCCTGGGATGTCTGTCACACTTCCGCTTCTGGGCCCAGTTCTAAGGCACAGTTCCGCACAGCACCCATCACTCCCATTAAAGACATTTGTCCACATTCCTGTCTCCCCTGCTGGGGAAAAGGAGGGCCCCTGAAAGTCAAGGGTCCTCCAGTGACCCAGCCCCCACGCCAGTACCTGGACTGCTGCCTGTCTGTCCACTGGTAATGGCAGCTGGCAGCCACAGCCGAGTGAGGGCACAGCAAGTACCGGTTCTCATCCCAGCAGCGGCCCATGGCCTGGGTGATGGCCTCATCCGACACTGATGCAGACGTCACTGCCTCTGAAAGCTGAAGGGCCCCCGGGTCAGAGTGGTGGGAGTCAGGGTTGGTGGGAAAAGGGAAAGATGGCTAAAGCCCCACTGTATACCACACAGTCTGACACACACCAGTAGCACAAACGAAAGGTTCAGGTTGAACGGCTGCTTGAGCTCAGAGTAAAATCTCAAGAGTTTCCCAGTTTTAGGCTGATTCACTCAGCTTGGAGGAAGGATATGCTTGAGTTTTAGGTCAATAAATTTAGTTGGGATTTGACTCACTAATCAGCAAATTAGCACATAGTCTTGCTCAACAACCCGACACAACACGGAAGGTTAAGAGCATTCAGACATTTCGGGTGCTTTGCTGTCGGTGTGCCCCCTTCCTGGGGGCTTGAGAACAACTCCTATCAGTTCCCACCCAGCTCATGCAGCACCTCCTCCAGGAAGCCTCCTGCTTCTCCACTTCTCCAGAGGAAGACTGCCTTCCCTGAGCTCCCTCGGTGAGGCTGGTTTATCTGATCACTCTCTGAAGATGTATCTCATGCTCTCAATATACCAAACACTCCACATATACTTGACTGCAACAGACCATACGGTGTTATAAACTGTAGCTACCCCTCCCATTAGGATCACAGAAGGCAACAAATGTATTTTATTTGTTTCTGTATCTCTAGCACCTAGTGCAGTTTCTGGTGCAGAGTAAATACACAATAGAAAGAATGAATGAATGATGTTCCAGCAAATGGAGTGTCTCCTATGTGTACCACCAGGAAGAGAATAAAGAAGTGGGGGATATGGTGTCTGTGCTCATGGAACACCTCATTCATATGAGAAAAAGGAATGGATGGGGCCAGCCCGGTGGCGCACTGGATAGTGCGCCGCTTGGGAAGTGCGGCGGTGCTCCCGCCCGAGGGTTCGGATCCCACGTAGAGACTGGTTCCCGCTCACTGGCTGAGCGAGGCGCAGGAGCAACACCGAGGGTTGCGATCCC